ACACTTAAACAAGTACATGAATCAAAGAGATGGCAAAGGAAACCAGAAAATATCTAGATGCAAATGAAAACCCAAAGTACCCAACATATGATATACGGTGAAAGCAGAACTGAAGGGGACGTTTGCAACTGTAAATGCTTATCAGTGACCTGTCTTTGCACTTTAAGGAACTAGAAAATGAAGAGCAAGCTAAGCTCGAGGCTAGCACAGGGAGTACGTTGTAAAAATTAGAACAGAGACAGAAGAATAGACACTAGAAAAATCATAGAGAAAATCAGTGGGCCCAGAATTCGGCTGTTTGAAAAGATCCACAAAATTGACAAAAGACAAAAGACTCAAATAACTAAAATGAGACATGCAAGAGGGCACATTAAAACCAAGTGGACAGAAATCAAAAGGATTATGGAAATACTGCAACGTGCACCAGCACATTAGGGCATCAGGATGAAGGGAGGAAATGTCTGGAAGCGGCACCTGCCGAGACTGACTCGCGTTGAGAGAGATTCTGAACAGAACCACAGCTAGGGCGGGTGGTGAATCAGCAATAGAAAACCTTTCAGCAGATAAAATCCCAGGATCAGATGGTCCCACTGGTGAGTTCTATAAAACGTGTAAGCAAGAACGAATGTGGGGACTGGTGTGGTGGCATAGCAGGTTAAGCCACCGCCTGTGAGGCTGGCATCCCATATGGAAGCCTATTGAAGTCCAGGCTGCTCCAATTCCAATGCAGCTCCCTGATGATGGCCTGGGAAAGCAGCAGAGGAGGGTCCAAGTCCTTGGGCCCCTGCACCCACATGGGAGACCCGGAAGAAGCTCCTGGCTCCTGGTTTCAGCCTGGCCCAGTCCAGCTAATGTGGCCACTTGGGGAGTGAACCAGCAGATGGAAGATATCTCTCTCTCTCTCACTCTCTTTTTCTCTGTAACTCTGCCTTGAAAATAAATCTTTTTTAAAAAGTTAAAAAAAAATCTTCCAAGAAATTAAAGAGGAGGGAACCCTTCCTAACTCATTCCAGGAGGCTAGCATTACCCTTATACCAAATCCAGACAAAGACACTATAAGAAAAGGAAAGAAGGAAGGAAGAAAAAAAGAAAGAAGGGAGGGAGGAAGACATTGCCAGAAAACTATAGCTCACCACCCTTGGTGAACACAGATGCAAAAATACCCAACCAAATTCTGTACCAGCAAACAGAATACAACATATTAAAAGAACTATATACCATACAACAACACATTTAAAGAACTATATACCATGACCAAGTGGAATTCATTCCTGAAGTGAAGGGACAGTTCAGTGTACGAAAATCAATAAATGGCCAGCGCTGTGGCTCACTAGGCTAATCCTCCGCCTGTGGCGCCAGCACACCGGGTTCTAGTCCTGGTTGGGGCGCCAGGTACTAGTCTGGGTTGCTCCTCTTCCAGTCCAGCTCTCTGCTGTGGCCCGGGAAGGCAGTGGAGGATGGCCCAAGTCCTTGGGTCCTGCACCCGCATGGGAGACCAGGAGGAGGCACCTGGCTCCTGGCTTCGGATTGGCGCAGCGCCGGCTGTGGCGGCCATTTGGGGAGTGAACCAACAGAAGGAAGACCTTTCTCTCTGTCTCTCTCTCTCACTGTCTATAACTCTACCTGTCAAATAAAAAATAAAATAAGAAAATCAATAAATGTAATACACCACATTGACAGAATAATATTAACATCAATAGATAACATAACAATATAGAACAAAATGACACCATTGTATTCTCAATGAATGCAGAAAAATGCCTTAAAACCCAATGATCTTTTGTTATTAGAAACACTCACCAAATCAGCAGTGGGAGAAGACTACCACAATGTAATAAAGACCATTATTAAAAGTCCACAGCTAACTTCATAATCAATGGTGAAGGAGCAACCGTTTTCACTCCAAGATCTGGAACAAGATGAGGAAAACTTTTATCTCGTCTCTAACATAGTAGTGGAAGATCTGTCCAGAGCAATTCAGCAAGAAAAATAAATGAAAGGCATCAAAATTGGAAAGGAAGAAGTAAAATTTTCTGTTGACCAACAACGTGATTTTGTATGTATAAAACTCTGAAGATTCCATAAAAAATGTCTAGTGTTCAAGACTTACTATTGTGATGATGTCAGAAGCAATCTATAGATTTAATGAAATCCCTATGAAAATCTCAAAGGTGTTCTTGAAGAAATAGAAAATTACATTTTATAGTTCCCATGGGACTGCAATGGCCACTGAGTAGCCAAAACAATCTTGAACTCAACCCAGTAGGCCTTTGTTAATGACCAAGCCTGAGCTTGCTCTTAGGAGAAGCTGGTAGCTGTGGTCCATATGATTTTCTTAAGTGACTGCATTTTCCCATTATTTACTGCAATGGTTCTTAACTTTGGGTGCAATGGTCTTTACAACATAAAGTATATCCTTCACCATGGGAAATTAAGTTGTGGGTGATATAAATTAGCTCTGTAAGTGGTACCAAAATGAGACTTAATGGTAACTTGGAACAATTGAATGACAAACCTGTAAAAATAATAAATAAATTAAATGAGATGGAGGAGGAGGAGGAAGAAGAAGAAGGCAGGAGATTGGAAGCTCAAACTTCCTGTCCTCGAAGCTTTTTACAAGCTATCATACTCCAACACTGTAGTATTCACATAAAGAAGAGATATATAGGCTGATGGAATGGAGTGAAATACAATAGACAGAATTCCAAACCCTCCACATGTATAACTTTTGACAAGAGTGCCAAGACTATTTGATGAGAGAACGTGCACTCTTTCATCAAATGGCATTGTGAAAACAGAATATCCACATGCGAGATCATGAAGTTGGCCCCTTATACACCATATAAAAGATAACTCAATACCTAAATGTAAGGTCTAAAATTTTTTTAAAACTCTCAAGAAAACATAGGAAGAAAGCATGACAACATTGGATTTGCTGTGATTTCTTGGTCATAACAATAAAAACACAGACAACAGAAGTAAAAATGGATAAATTAGGCTACATCTAATGAAAAACTTCTTTGCATCAAAAGACACAAAATATTGAAAAAGCAGCCTACCAAATGGGAGAAAGAAAGCAATAAGGGATCAATATCCAAACTATATAAATAACTCTTAAAACAACAAGATTTAATTAAAAATGAGTAAAAAAATTTGAAAACATTTCCCCAAAGAAGATATACAAGTGATTAACAAGCACAAAAAAGATTCCCGACATCACTAGTCATTAGGAAAATGCAATCAAAAACCACAAGGAGATATCACTTCACATTCATCAGAATGGCCTATCATAAAAAAAATAAGTTTAGGGGGGATGTGGAGAAACTAGAACTTTTGTGCCCTACTGGCAAACACAGGAAATATTGCAGATGCTATGTACATGTATAGAAATTCCACAGAAAATTAATATATCGCTGCATGATCTAGGAATTTCACTTCTGAGAATATGTCCAGAAGAATTGAAAACAGATTTTCTACACAGCCACTGATGGCAGTATTATGCACAATAGTCAAAAGGTGGAAGCAACTCAAGTGTCCATTGACAGATGAATGCATAGGCAAATTGTATATATCAATGCAATTGAATAGTATATAGTCTTTAAAGAAAGTTCTAACACACAATACAATGTGGATGAACCATGAGGATGTTATGCCAAATGAAATATGCTGGTCACAAAAGATAAATACTATAGGATTCCACTTATATGAGATATGAGACTAGTTACATCCATAGAAACGCAAAGCAGAATGGCTATTGCTAGGAGATGGGTGAATGGGAGTTGCTGCATGGGTTATGGACTTTAAGATTTGCAGGATGCATAGTTCTGGAAACTGCACAATGATGTGAGTGTACTTAGCACTCTTAAAATGAGCAAGAAGGGAAGTTTTGTCTTATGTGTACTTGACCGCAATTTTTAAAAAGTATATGTGTGTGTGTGTGTGTGTGTGTGCGTAAAAGAGGCGGGGGGAGACAGAATATTCACACATATATGATCAATTAAGAACTAAATAAGGGGCCTGCGCCATGGCTCACGGTTAATCCTCCTCCTGCGGCGCCGGCATCCCAATATGAATGCTGGATTCTGTCCCAGTTCCTCCTCTTCCAGTCCAGCTCTCTGCTGTGCCCCGGGAGTGCAGTGGAGGATGGCCTGAGTGCTTGGGCCCTACACCCGCATGGGAGACCAGGAAGAAGCACCTGACTCTGGCTTCGGTTTGGTGCAGCACCTTTCTCTCTGTCTCTCTCTCACTGTCTAACTCTATCTGTCAAATAAAAAAAATTTAAAAAGAACTAAATAAGAATGCATTAACAAATATAATTTCTGGTTAAGGGGATGTGATTTTTTTAAATGCTGGTGAAAACTTTTCAATACTCTTGCTATGTGGAATAAAAGTGTTTTAATTTTTTTAAAGATTTATTTATTTATTTGAAAGTCAGAGTTACACAGAGAGAGGAGAGGCAGAGAGAGAGGGAGAGAGGGAGAGAGGAAGAGAGGAAGAGAGAGAGATCTTCCATCCGCTGTTCACTCCCCAGTTGGCCACAACGGCCGGAGCTGCGCCGATCCAAAGCCAGGAGCCAGGAGTTTCTTTCGTGTCTCCCACGTGGTGCAGGGGCCCAAGGACTTGGGCCATCTTCTACTGCTTTCCCAGGCTACAGCAGAGAGCTGGATTGGAAGTGGAGCAGCTGGGTCTCGAACCGGCGCCCATATGGGATGCCAGCGCTTCAGGCCAGGGCATTAACCCACTGCGCCACAGCGCCGACCCCAAAGTGTTTTAATTTTTCATGAGAAAAGTAAAAGTGAGTTTTTCAAGTATATATTTCTCGGTTAGCCCCCACAAGTAAATATACAAATATGAATACAAATGGATGGTTGAGAGTTTTGAAACTGGAAGAACTAAGTTCTGTTTTGTTTTGGAGGATGGGGAAGAAGAAATGTTAACTCAATCTTGTGATGGTTGAGATAGGGAAGTCACTCATGGCAGACTCTGCTTTATTCCTATAGATGCTAGCTGACTCAGCCAGCAGCGCCAGAGTTCATGATCAACCAGCTGCCCCACAGTGATGGCCGCACAGCTCCTCAGAAGGGTGGTGTCCACCAGGAACCTTCTGAGACTGATTGCCAATCTTTGACGTCACCTTTGTCTCCATGTCCTTCCGTCTTCTCTTTCCTGGAGGTATTGCTTCTTTGATTTAACAGATGCTTGTCAATTCTTTACCTAGTGCAGAGTCATTAAAAATGTGTCCCCGGTTTTCTGCCTTCTGTGGTTCTATCGCTTACATTTCAATATTTGATCCATTTTGAGTTAAAGGAGTTAATCCTTGTATACAGAATCAGGCAAGGCTCCAACCTCATTCTTTTGCGTGTGATGATTCAGTTGCACTTGCCCAAGCACCATTTGTTGAAAGGACTGTTCTTTCCCAGAGAATGGGCTTGGCAACCTTGTTGAAAATCATTACCCATAAACGTCTGGGTTTATTTCTGGACTCTCAGTTCTACTCTATTGATCTGTCTGTCCTTTATTCACAGCTTTGAATGCTGTTGCTTTGTAAAGAGTTTGGAAATCAGGAAATGTGAATCTCCCTTCTTTGTCTTCCTTTCCCGGGCTTATTTGGTTATACTGGGTCCCTTGCGGTTCCATATGAGTTTTAGAATGAACATGTCATTTTCTACAAAGAAGTCGCCTGAATTTCTAATGGAGAATTGTTGAATTTGCAGCCCAGTTTGGAGGGTTCTGTCATCTTAACAATGTTAAGTCAATCCATGAACAAATGTGTTTCCATTTACATTGATCATCTTTAATTTCTTTTGATAATGTTTCATAGTTTTTAGACTTTTTGTTAAATTTATGCCTAAATATTTAATAATTTTTAATGCTATTGTGAATGGAATTTTTTCCTCATTTCATTTTTGGATTGTTCTTTGTGACTATAAAAATACTATTGATTTTTGTATATTGACCTTGTATTCCGCAACTTTGCTGACCTTGTTTATTTTTAATGCTTTTTTGTGGATTTCTTAGGATTTTTCTCTGTATAAGTTAATGTCATTTAAGAATAGAGATGGGGGCAGCACCGTGGCTCGCTTGGTTAATCTTCCACCTGCAGCGCCAGCATCCCATATGGGCTCTGGGTTCTAGCCCCGGTTGCTCCTCTTCCAGTCCAGCTCTCTGCTGTGGCCCGGGAAGGCAGTGGAGGATGGCCCAGGTAATTGGGCCCTGCACCCAAATGGGAGACCAGGAGGAGGCACCTGGCTCCTGGCTCAGCGCTGGCCATAACGGCCATTTGGGGAGTGAACCAACGGAAGGAAGACCTTTCTCTCTGTCCCTCTCTCTCACGGTCTATAACTCTACCTGTCAAATAGTAATAAAAAGTAGAAGTAGGTTTTCAGTTTTTTGTCTTTTAGTCCGGATGCCTGTTTTCCCTTTCTCTGCCTGATTGCCTAGGCTAGGACCTCCAGTAACATGTTGAATAAAGTGGAAAGAACACATGTGTTTTGGAGGAAAAGTCGGTCTTTCACCACTAGGAATGATGGTGTGGGTTGTTTTTTTTTTCAGATACTCTATCAGGCTGAGGAAGTTCATTTCCACTCTGAGTTTGTTCTGTAATCATCACAAAAAAGTGTGGATTTGGTCAAAGACAATTGGTGCATCTTTTGAGAATGATCATGTGAATTTGATTTTTATTCTGTTGATAGGATTTGTTATATTGATTTATGTTGAAGATGCTAATCAACCTTGCGTTTCTGGAGTATAAGTCCATCGGTCATGTGTACCACTTCTGAGATGTTTCTAGGTTCCATTTTCGCATCAGAATCCAAATTGTTTGGTGTTGTTTTCCTTCCTGCGATGCCCTTTTCTGGTTTTGGTATTAGGGTGATCACTCCCCCCAGGAAATGAGCTGGGGAATGGTGTCTCCTGTAGTATTTTTAGAAGAGTTTGTGAGTACTTGCTAATAATTCTTGAAATGTTTCATAGAATTCAGTGGTAAATTCTGTGTCTTCTGGGCCTTGGCTTTTCCTTGAGGTTAGTTTTATTATTATTATTATTTATTACTAAGTCCATCTCATTACTTGTTATGGGTCTTTTCAGGTTGTCTATTACACCTTGAGTTTATTTCAGTAACTGGTGTTTTTCTAGGAATTTGTTTATTTCATCTAAGTTTGCTTGTTTGTTGGTGTACAGAGGTGCATCGTGTTCTTTATAATTTTTTTCTTTTAGTGCGGTCAGTAGTATTGTCCCCTCTCTAATTTCTGAGTCTAAAAAAATATGATATTTTTTTCTGGTTGGTTAGAAGTTTATAAAATTGTTGCTCTTTTCAAAAGCTAGCTTTTGGTTTCTTTTCTCTTGTTTTTCCATCCTCTATTTCACCAATTTCTGCTGTAAGCTGGATTATTTCATTCCTCTGCTTGCTTTATCTTTAGTTTGCACAACTTTTTCCAGCATCTTAACATGGAATATCAGGTTATCAACTTCAAATCTTCCTTCTTCTAGGTATTTACAACTATACATTTCTCTGTAAATTTCAGCTATGCTAGTGGTATAACATATGTTTTGGTATGTTGTTTCTTCAGTTTTACTCATCTCAAAGTATTTTCTGATTTGATTTCTTCTTTCACTGGCTGATTATTTTAGGAGTTTATTTAACTTTTACATGGCTGTGACGTTCCCCAATTTCTTCCTGCTATTGCTTTCTAATTTGACTCCACTGTGGTGGGAGAGTAGACTTTGTGTTATTTCTATCCTCTTAAATTTATTGACCATTTTTATTCCATGTGTTCTTGAAAGGAATGCCTATTTTCTTGTAGTTGGGTGGAGTGTTCTCTAGCTGTTCTCCTAGGTGTAGCTGATGTCCAGTGCTGTCCAAGTCCGCTGTTTCCTTGCTGGTCCTATTTCTAGTTGTTCCTGTGTGAATCGCTGTAGATTGAGGACATCTTGCTTTTAAGTGTGATTTTTAATTTTTTAATTTTTAACAGACACAAAGAATTATAGGTATTTATAGGATACCATGTAATGTTTTGTGACTTTAATTTTTATTTATTTGAGATGCTCAGAGAGAAAGAGAGAGAGGGAGGGAGGGAAGGAGGGAAAAAGGAAGGAAGGAAGGAGACAGAGCAGGTAAGAAAATGCTGTCCTCTACTGGTTCATTCCCCAAATGCTGGAAGTGGCTGGGCTAGGCCAGGCCAGAGCCAGGAGCCAGTAATGAAATCTAGACCTCCCATATGAGAGGCAGGAACCCAACGACTTGAGCCATCACCGCTGCCACTCCAGAATGGGACATGGGTGTCTTAACCACTAGGCCAAACACCTACTCCCCCACATTTGATACATGTGTACATTGTGTAACAGCTAATCAGGGTAAATATATCTATCTTTTCAAACAGTTAACATTTCTACATCATCAAAACATTCAAAATCCTTTTTTGTATTTTTCTAGGGAAATGTACATTCTCATTATCAATAGTCACCCTACTGTATGATCGAACACCAGAATTTCTCACTCCTATTTAGTCATACGTAGTGCCCATTAATCCCTGCTTCCTCCCTGCTCACCCCAGCCTCTGGTACTCAGTTATACTTCTCCCTTCCAAAAGATCAACCTTTTTTGGATTTCACACATGAGAGAAAATGCAGTGCTTACCTTTCTGTTCTTCACCCATATCATCTGACGTGAGAACCTCCAGTTCCACCCATGTTGTTGCAAATGATGAGGTCTCATCCATTTTTATGGCTGAATAATATTCCATTGAGTGTACATACCACCTTTTCTTTGTGGTACATTGACTGGTGGATGGACACTTAGGTCCTTCCCGCTTCTTGGCTGTTGTGAATAGTGCTGCAATCAATGTGAGAGCATAGATGTCTCGTCAACAGTGACATCATTTCCCTTGCATATGAACCCACTAGTGGCATTGCTGGATCATATAGAAGTTCTATTTTTAGCTTTGTAAGAAGCCTCCATTCTATTTTTCACAATGGGTGGACTAATTTACATTTCCACCAACAGTACACAAGAGTTCCCTTCTCTCCACATCCTCACCAGCATTTGTTGTATATAATATTTATATATAAATTTAAGTATATAAATTTATATATGTATATATTTATTTACAAATACTTATATAACTAAATATATATATATAAGTCATAACCAAATCTAAATGGAGCAAGGTAATATCTCATTGTGATGTTGATTTTGTTTCCCTGATAATTAATGATGCTAAGCATTTTTCATGTGTTATTTGTGTGTCTTTGAGAAATGTCTGCTTAAATCTACTGATATTTTAAAAATTGGATTATTTGGGGCTTTTATTGTTGAGTTGTTGGTGTTCCTTACATACTCTGGTTGTTGACCCCTTGTCGGGCGTTTAACTTGCAGATGCTGTCCTCCTCCATTCTTTAGGTTATCCTTCACTCTGTTGGTCATTTCCATTGCTGCACAGAGGCTCTCTAGTTTGATGAAATCCCAGTTGTCCTCTTTCGCTTTCATTTCCCATTCTTTTGGGGTGTGATCAAAAAAAAAAAAAAATCCTTGCTCTACAGTAGCCTGAAGCAATTTTTCCCCTTGTTTTCCTCTAGTAGTTGCAAAGTTTCAGATCTTTAGTCTATTTTTGAGTTGCTCTGTATGCATGGTGAGAGACAGTGATCTGGTTTCATTATTCTGAATATGGAGATCCAATTTTCCTAGTACCATTTATCTAAAAGATTGTCCTATTTCCAGTGCACATTCTTAGCACCTTTACCAAAGGTTAGTGGGTCTCCGGTGTGTGGGTTTACTTTGGGGGTCTCTATTCTGTTCTGTTGATTTATGTATCTGTTTTATGCTTTTGAATTACTGGGGAGTTGTAATATATTTCATTTATTTATTTGAAAGTCAGAGTTACACACAGAGAGAGAAAGAGAGAGAGATAGAGGTTGGTCTTCCATCGGCTGGATAACTCCCTAGTTGGCCTCAATGGCCAGAGTTGAGCTGATCTGAAGCCAGGAGCCAGGAGCTTCTTCTGGGTTTTCCACATGGGTGCAGGGGCCCAAGGACTTGGGTCATCTTCTACTGCTTTCCCAGGCTATAGCAGAGAGCTGGATCAGAAGAGGAGCAGCCGGGACTCGAACCGGCGTCTATATGGGATGCCAGCACTGCAGTTGGCGGCTTTACCCACTACGCCACAGCACTGGCCCTGTAATATATTTTAAATTCAGGCAGTGTAATGCCTCCTGTTTTGTTCTTTTTGTTCAAGATTTCTTTAGTTATTTGTAGTCTTTTGTGGTTCCTTACAAACTTTAGTAGTTTTTTTTCTAGTTATGTGAACAATGTCATTGCTTTTTGATAGGGATTGCACTGGATCTGTAAATTGCTTTGGGTAGTATGCACATTTTAAT